TTGGGTGAGGTGAGTGCCAGGTAGTATTTCCGTCATGGGTTTGTCGCTGCCTAGAGCCGTTTTGACGTCCACATCCACGACCCCGATTTCTACCACCACGTCTTTGTCCACGTCCATAGCCTCCGCGCTGTCCCGGGTTCCCTTCACCGTAGCTGCTGCCGCCATGCGGTCCACCATAGCCGCCGCTGCCACCATGTGTCCCGCCGTGGAGTTGGCCGCCGGCCCGGGTAGTGAGCAAGGCCGAGGTGCCGGGGTCAACGGGGTTTGACCGTTGGCAATCCAAAAGCATGAGAGCCGATCGAACCTGAAGAAAATTCGGCATAGGATCCTGAAACTGCATGAACGAGGTTTGAGCTTGTAGATCTGCGGGAAGCCCTCGGAGCATCTGGAGGACTAGTTGGTGCTGAGAGACCGGTGCATCGACATCATCTAACCAATCGGCAAGATTTTGGAGTTGTTGACAATAGGCCGCCATGGAGGTGGAGCCCTTAACAGTGGTGCGAAATTCATGCTCCAACTGCATGGCCCGGGCATGTTTGTTGTCGTGAAATAGATCGTGGATGACCTTCCAGAGAGCAGAAGCAGTGGTGAGAGAAGAGATTACCAGATCTGAAACTTCGTCGGTGATGGTGGAGAGAATCCAACCCTGGAGAAGGGCATCGAGTTGGCACCATTCGTCATCGTCGTCGGAGAGGGGGACGACGGATCCATCGAGGTATCCCTGAAGGTAAAATCTCCGAACGAGGAGGAGGAACAGACGACTCCATTTTTTGTAGTTCGGTTGTGAGAGACTGAGTTGAACAGGAACATGTAGCCTCACATTGGAGATAGTTGTGAGAGCAAGATGATGGGTTTTGGAGGACATATTTTGGGAAATAACCTCACTATTTTCGGCCATGGAGAGAGGGGAAGAGAGAGGGCCGCCAGGAGGGAAGCAGCGTCGCCGGGAGAGAAGGCCGCCGAGGGGAGGCGGGGCTGGCGGCGAGCAAGGCCGAGAGAGAGAGTTGAGGAGGTTAGGGTTTAGGGTTTTGTGGCTCCGATACCGTGAAGAAGAAATATTTTCATTGAATAATTGTGTAGAGGTAACACCAATATATAGTAGAGGCTTCAATCCTAATCATAGTAGGAGAACCATATTAAGAAGTCAGATATGGTAACATAATGATTACAGTAAATATAATTAATATATTTAGCAGTATATTTCCAATAGCTGTCGGACGGTGTAGGGCGGGAGAGCATATTTGTGGTGATAAGGGATGTCGAGATTTACAAAAAAGAGAGAAACAAATATGATGGATAGCCGAAGAAAAATTCTGAGAGCAGAGCTGAAGAAGAAACTGACCACCGCCGAAGTCAGACTCCAACCGCCACTGGTTCGCCGTCACTGAACCATTATCGTGCTGCTGCTTCCTCACCTATTGCCGTGCTGATCACCTTCACTCCCTCTTTGCATGGAGAAAGAGTTGCTGACCATGGAAAAAGCTGTTATGGAGTATTATTGACAAAGTCACGTGGAGTATTTATTTGTTAATTTGGAGAGCTAAAACTACCAGAGTATTTGTCATTGCTGATCAAGATTTTGCTGGATTATATTTTTCCTGCATCGGGTTCTGTGTAAGGTTAAAGTCCAGATTTTGAGTAGTTCATTCTGGAACTAGGGCCGCAAACACATCTTTGGAGAAGATCTCGAAGAAGGTGTAACATGCTGTGGAGATAGACACAAACAGAGTTTGTCGTTAAGTCATTCGTAAGTAGATTAAGGCCCCGTTCCGTTCAACTTATTTTTTCTTATTTTTTCTTATTCTTATTAAAATCAGATCAGATCAGACCAGATCAGATCAGATCGAATCAGATCAGATCAGATCAGATCGAATCAGATCAGATCAGATCCAATCAGATCAGATCAGATCAAGACTTATTAAAATAAGATCTCATCAAGAATTATTATTATTATTATTATATTATTATTATTATATTATTATTATTATTATTATTATTATTATGATCATCATCATCATCATCATCGTCATCATCATTATTATTATTATTATTATTATTATTATTATTGTTCTTAAAAATGAAAAAGAATAAACTTTAGAAATAGGTTAAATAAAAAGCTGAGAAAGTAATCCTTAATTATTAGACGTCGGAAAAATTAGTTTTAAAATACATTGAGAATGTCAATCTAATTCTACTTTTAAAATATATTTTTATTGCTACTTGTAATTTGAGTTTCTAAACTTTTGATCTTTTATAAGGATGAGATATTTTAATAAAAATATTATCTCTTCTATATATTGATTATCTAAATTTAATTACTTTTAAATGTATATCTAAATTAAATATTTATTCCAATGTATAATTCTAATTTTACAAAAAAATTATCATAAAATAAAAAATATTATTACATTATAATATGAATGATTATTCTAATATATGAATTAACTATTTTTATTTTATTAAAAAGGAATCATTAAATAAAAAATATTGATTATATTATAATATGAATTATCATTACAATTTTCAAACGTTATTATAAAGTCAAATTAAATTATTGATTTGAAATTTTAAATTAAATCATAATTAATCAGATCAGACCAGATCAGATCCAATCAGATCAGATCAGATCCAATCAGATCAGATCAGATCCAATCAAATCAGATCAGATCAGATCAGAACTTATTAGAATCAGATCAGATCAGAAAAAATAAGTTGAACGGAACGGAGACTAAGTCAATATATTAGATAGAATATATTCTCATTGAAGGTGTAATCTTTATGATGATTTAATGAAAGGGTTGTTACACGGACGTGATCCCCGTAGACGTAGGAGAGTTGCTCTGAATTGCGTAAACAATTCTTGTGTACTGTTTACTGCTTTTACTTTATATTTTGTGTGTGTGCTTGTGACAGAGAAGATGTTATAGCACTCTGTCTGTCATCTGTTTTTGTGACAGTGTTACAGTAGTTTTTGCAGCAGTCTGTTTGGTTAATCTGTTTGTGTAGATTATTTTTGGTTTGTGATATCTGTTGTGCACCCCCCACGAATTTTCATTTAAAAGTTTTGATTGTATTTGTGATTCAAGCATTTCCATTCAAGTCCAGCTCATACTCCCCCTTCTAAAAATTATCTTCACATTTACAATTCACAGGGTGAAACTGTATTCAGTTTGTTAGTTTATTTTCGTTACCCATTTAATTAAATAATATGGTCATGTCACCTCTAGTTTTGTAGACCTTTGGATGTAGTTTTTTAATATGTAATTTTTATTTTTTTAATTTCACACCATTTTTAATATAAAATAATTTGAGAATAATTTCAGTCAAACACCGTAACGCGCAATGGGAAGATAATATTTGAACGGAGGGAGTATGACTTTTTCTAGGCCTAGACACAAAGACGAGTTGAAGGGCGACCCAGTAAAATTCCATGGGTTTAAAATTAGAAAATTGCTACCGGGTATCCTTAGTTTTTTGATAAGAACTCAGAGGTCCCATTTTCTCTAAGAATATACTCCGTGGTACTTTTAATTATTCAAAAACTAACTCTGGGGGACATTTCGTCCATTCCTCTATCAAATTCATTTTGTCCATTATCTTTTCATCATCTTCTTCTAAAAATTTCTGTTACGTATTCCCAATTTTGTAAAAATAACTCTCAGGTCTCATCATTTTTAAAAAGATACTCCGGGGTACCCTAAATATTCAAAAACTTACTTTGGCGATTTTCCTTTTTTCCTTTTATTATTATTGTGATCATTATTTCTATTACTATTACGACTATTATTATTATCACTATTATTGTTGTTATTGTTGTTGTTGTTGTTGTTATTATTATTATTATTATTATTATTCTAGTGCGTGTAGCGACAATCCAACGCAACGCAATAGGCAAAGCGGCAACGAGTGACAGCTGAGGAAGACAATGATATGTGAGTCATAATAATAATAATAGTACTCCATAATAATAATAATAATAAAATAATAAAAATCACAATAATAATAATAATAATAATGGTAATAGTAATAATAATAATAGTCACACAACAACAACAACAACAACAATAATAATAATAATAATAATAATCTAAGAATAATAATACTAATAATAATAATAAAGGAAAAAGGAAAATTTTTCTAGAGCAAGTTTTTAGATATTTTAGCGTACTCGAAGTATATTTTTAAAAATTGTTGAAGACCCGTCGTGCGGTCCAAAACAAATTAAAAATTTATAAAATATCCTTAGCTAACCCCCAATATAATCAAATAAAAACTATAGCTAGGGCAAGTAAGGGTCGATCCCACGGAGAAAATTTGTACTTTTTAAAACCAATTTAGTATGCAAACACGTTGTCACTAAATAAAATAAAAAAACTACTACACATATGATAAGACGTATAAAACTTATAACAAAACTTATAACTATAACTTATATAAACAAAGAACTTATAATATAACTGAAACACAACACAAAGGGGGGGGGGGTTTGAATAAAAAGTAAATATTTTTTGGTTTTTTATATTTTCTTATTTTTTTGATTTTTTGATTAAATGGGGGAAAACAAGCTCAAAAGATAATCAATTTCTCCAATTAAGGTAACCCAAGAAACACCGCCAAGAACCCAAAACAAAATGAAAAAGAGAACAAACACAAATTGAACATTACACGTATAATAGCCACTTAGACAATATATTACGTAACTTACATACTTAAAAATAGAAAAGAATTCAAAGGCTCGAGTTGATTTATATCCTTGACCACATATAGAGGATCGTCAACTCTCTATAAGGCCCGGAGTCAAAGATTCAAAGGCCTTTTGGATCACTTTGAACCCCCACTCATCTCAAGCGCTCAAACAATGATTCCAAAAGATGAAAAAGTTTATAAAAGAGCGAATCTTTCTTTCATTCTAACTCCCATGCACAAAGTATTCATGAAGAACATTTGATACACTTTAATAAACTTTAACGTCTAATGATGAAAATATTTTGCAGGTCTTCTTGAACAACTCAAGGATAAGAATTGTAATCTATTCACATAAAAGAACATTACATATTTTCATTAAATCAAGAGTTGTTTATTGCGCTTAAACAATCCCAATTTTTATGAAAATAACAAACAAGAACACCAAGACATCAACAATCACTCTATAACGAATCTTAAGGAAAACGTTCAACTTATGTGGTTAAGAAGTTCATTTACCTTAAAATTTTACAAAACACAAGTCACAAAAAAGATTCACGTATGAATTCGAGAATCATTTAACTAAAATATGTAGCTAAATTAGTTTCAATGATAACCGAATTCGACATACCAACCTACTTATGAATTCAAATTTACAAATCAACCAATTTAACATCAATTTGCGCAAAAATTGAAGAAACTAGTAAGAATCAATTTTCATTCATAAGAGATTTAATATAACATTAAAAAACCCATAAAAGAACACCAACCATTTTGGAATTTTTGAAATTCACACAAGGAAAAAAAAGTATAAATTTGAATTGAAACAACACTTTTACAAAGAAATTGGAGAATAAAAAAATTTGACAAATATAGAATTACCAATTGATGAAGAAGAAGATGAAATTGAAGAAATTGGAGCTTGAAGAAGACTGCCCACCCTCGACCACAGCCGTCACCGGAGCTACTGCCGCCGCTGCCATCGTCGAACGCCGGCCACCATAGCAGCGGCCAAGCCGCTACTTTATTCCCGTCGATGTTCCCCCCGTGTTGATAGTGGTAGCCACTCCAATTTATAGAGCAAGCATTCTTCCGTTGATATCTTCCCGTTGGCGATTAATTGTTGCGAATTTTACGGAGGAATGTTGGAGCGTTGAAGAAATTGGTTCGATTCTCTCTGCGGTGAAGCGGTGAAGAAGAAGTCGCGTACTTCTCTTCTTTTCTCTTTCTTGTGCGAATCAGGAAAGTAAGGGATGCAATGGGCTGGTTAACTTGTTTATTTGATGATGGGTTTGGGCTCTAGCCCAAATTCAATATCTTCTTTCCAAACTTGAACTGCACTTTGGTCTTTTGTTACATTTTTCTCCAAAAAATAAGATATCTGATAATTTGGGTTAGGAAAAATAAAATAAAAATAAAAGAATGTAAAAAATGATTAAAAAAACTACTATTTATGAAAGAAAAATAAAAGATTGTAGAAATGAGAATTAAAATAAAACTAAACAGAAGAACTAAAAATTAAACACTAAAAATATTAAAAATGCCTAAAAAAGAATAAAAAGAACTAACCCAAAAACGACTTATCAAAAATGATAGGATCAAGAAGTTATTTCTACTTAATTGAGGTACCTAACAACAATTTTTGGAAAGAAGATGAGGAAAAGATAACGGAGAAATTGAATTTAACGGAGGGATGGACAGAATGTCCCTCGAGAGTTAGTTTTCGGTTAATTAAAGGTACCCCGAAGTATATTTTTTAAAAAAGATGGGACCTGACATTAATTTTCGGGATTTAAAATGGTTCCCATCATTCAAGTTGGGGCAAGGTTTAGAGTAATTTACCTAAATAGGACTAAAACATAATGACTTTTTCAATATAAGATCATATGTTTTTAGTTTCCAACATAGGACTATTGGTCATTATTTATTAGTTATTATTCAACTAAATGTTCAGCATCACTTGAAAATTATTTTTCTCACTAATCATTATTAAGTCCTATTTAAAATTTAAGTTCTACATTAAGAAATGACTTATACTCCGTATCTTAAAAAATTTCACCTAAGTTTTATTCCATTTCTTCAGTCGGCCGGCCCATTCAAGCCCATACCGTCCTTGCCCACTATAATTTCACCGCCTTTGACTTACTGCTGAAACCCTAGGGAGGCTTGGTGCAGCAGGCGGAAGATTTGTTGAAGAAGTTCCAATGGGGAGAAGTGAGATTCTATTCTATTCTCTTTCATTTATCATCGATCAGAAAAAGATTTCCACGCAAAGCCACCCTTCTTCATGCATATTTTCGCTATCATTTCTTCAATGATTGAATTATTTTTTCTTGCAATTTTTTGAAAATTATATAAGGCGATTTATTTGGTGCATTCTGCAAGTCCTTTCCAGATGGTAATTGATTGTCCTTTCGATGTAGCCAATTGTTTCTATTCAGCTTATTATGCTCAATTATGGATTGTGCTGGTTAAGTAGGGGAGGTATATGGTTTTGTTGAGTATATGAGTTAAAATGGGTTAGGCCCCGTTTGGTACACGGAATTCAAACTATGGAATTGGAATTGAGGACTTCAATTCCAATTTTGGTGTTTGGTAGCACAAAAATCATGTGGATTTGGAATTGATAGTGCAAAAAATGAATTGAAATTGGTGAATTCAACTGTATGGAATCGAATCCCATGGAATGTCAGTTCTAATTCAATTCCAATTCCATCAATTCCATATACCAAACGGACCCTTATTGTAATGATGTTTTTTTAAATAAAAAGTTAATGATGGATCTATAAATTGCCGTGTTTGGGTTTTATTATGTTCATCACTTCAAAGTATATTTGTAGATATTTTTGCAACTAGTGGTATATTTAATGAAATATATACGAAATTTTGATATACTTTAGTTAATAATGAATAAACCACATTGGAAAAGTAGGGTCTTGATTTTATAGCTTTGTATTTACGGCAAGGAAATTTCTAAGTTGCACCTAAAAAGCCATTGACCTTTTTACATACTTGACCAGCATTTGCATAATGTTATGATGAACATTCACCTTATTTGCTTTTATATTATTTTACTTATATGATAAAGTCCATGCATTCTAGCTGCGCTTGAGGTTCATTGTAGAAGCACTCTTAATGGAAAACATAAGTTTTTAGTACCATCCCTTTCTCAATATGAGTTGGATTTGAATCATTTAACTCCTGGTTGAATTCCATTGATACAAACACTATATCAGAAATAAGAAAGAATGGGTTGTTTTGCTATTGTAATAAGTAATTACAGTATTTTTATAAAAAAGTTTGAAAACTGAAAGGACTAGAGCATGATGCCATGGATCTTTTTGAGAAATTCAAATGGTATGTTGCTACCTGCTGCCCCTTTGTCTTCTTGGTTCTCTAATTTGAAGTTGTGTATTCTTCATCTTCCAATTTTGATTTTATTAAAGACCATTTGCTTATGTCATGGATTTTTGTATTAGTGGTTGGATTGGTTTAACTTGGTTCTTTACCATTTCTTCAATGTCATACTGAAACTTAAAGTGCTTATTTTGTCTAAATTTTTAGCATATTTTGCCACTCTAGACAATAATTATATTTTCCAGACTATCTACAATTATATATGGAGTATATCTATGGTTAGTATGTTTTGAATTGATTACTATGAATAGTCCTTTTTATGAATTTGGTTTTGCACTGAGAGACGGAATATTTTTCTTTCTTGAAGTATTGATCTTTCATGGGAAATCCCAACTTCTTACTGGTCATACATCTACCGGCCAATCTTTCACTTCATTGCACTTATTACACAAATTATATATTATTGTGCTTCATATAACATTGTGATCAGGGCCAGCAAGGTGTTACCGTCAGATTAAGAATAAGCCATACCCAAAGTCAAGGTACTGTCGCGGTGTACCCGACCCAAAAATCAGGATCTATGATGTGGGAATGAAGAAAAAGGGTGTAGATGAATTCCCCTTCTGTGTGCATTTGGTCAGTTGGGAGAAGGAGAATGTCTCAAGTGAGGCTCTTGAAGCTGCACGAATTGCTTGCAACAAGTACATGACCAAGTTTGCAGGAAAGGATGCCTTCCACTTAAGGGTTAGGGTTCACCCTTTCCATGTGCTTCGTATTAACAAGATGTTGTCATGTGCTGGGGCTGATAGGCTCCAAACAGGAATGAGGGGTGCATTTGGCAAGCCGCAGGGTGTCTGTGCTCGCGTGGCCATTGGACAGGTTCTTCTCTCAGTCCGCTGCAAGGATTCTAACAGTCAGCACGCACAGGAGGCCTTGCGTCGTGCCAAGTTTAAGTTCCCTGGTCGCCAAAAGATCATTGTTAGCAGGAAATGGTATGCATTCATCTGTTCTCTATATTTAATACACTGTACTCCGTAGATGATATATCCTACCTCTGCCCCTATGGCCAGTCCCTTAATAATCACTATGTTCCTTTAAAAGTGAAAATGTGTAACAAATGATTCAAGGTATTTATCTCCTACATACTCCGTAAATTCCAACCACAGTTTTGATTTTTCTCAAACCTTTGTCTGATAAAAGTATCCAATAATTTCGGGACATAGTGAGTGTTAGTCATTGTTGAACTCATGTTCTCTCTTAACCTATTTTTTAATATTCTTTTGTAATTAAGTCAGTCACGTCACCACTTGTTTATCTTATTCCCCATCCCTAAATTATCTTTTCGTTTTGGATTGCGATGTTTGGTTGAAGGTATTAACAATTCAATTTATTTATATATTGATTTAAAACTTTTACATATTAAAAAACTATATCAAAAGTTCTACAAAACAAGAGGTGACATAACTATGAAGTACAATATTATTTTATCAAATTAGCAATGAAAATATGGAAAGAAAGAGGATATTATTTGACCATGTGAATATTAAAGGGGAAGATTAAAAAGGTATGGAGGGAGTATTGAACTATTTATATGTTTATTTGCTTACATTAGATTAAGTATTACAAATGTGAATTGAAGATATCTTTATTCTTGTCTCATAGCACAACTAGTACACAGATGATGGGAGTAAAGTTATTGCATATATTAATTGTTGTCAACTTAGCTGTAACACAATTATTCTAGTCTGTTTGTATGCCTGATGTTCAACCCAAGCTGTTAAAGTTTCATTACTCACTACAGCACATTCCTTGCACCACAATTTGCAGTTAAAACAAAACTCGTCTA